ACACACACACACACACACACACACACACACACACACACACACACACATTTCCTCTTCGAATTTCCAAAGGGACATTCACTTAACGTACCGGGAGCACTATTAATTTGTCTCCTCTACACAGGGATATAGTCTTACACAGAGCAAAGATACAGCCCCAAGACTTTGGAAGTTCTGTTTGTGTGTTTCAGTCAGTCATGAGACCTGGGCCATGCGACTCTCATTTGAACTGATTTAGCGTGTTTGGTTGCAGCGCAGAACAAAACAACTACTACTGTTTACTGCTGCTGCTCTTTATCTCACCACATAATGCTCACGAGGAGCAGGATGACAGAAAAAAAAGATACTTTTCTCCTCCTAACCTGAAGCTTTGCCTCCCATCCTTTACAAATCCAACCCATTAATCACAACAATCCAAGGCTAACCTCCTCCCTGACTTGCCTCTCCCATCCGAACAATCCCTTCCTTTTGTTTCCTTTCCCTTCAGGACACGGAAGAAAACCGATGACAGCACTGAATTTATGTTGATGATTCATTGATGATCATTTTGCCTGACACATAGTATCTTTAACAGGAACATTTATGTTTTACTTACGTGACACATCCAACGTGTATGAAGCTGCTGTTTTGCGCTACAGCAGCCTCCCCCCTCTCCTATAGAGGCTGAGGTCCCTCCAGATCCCACATTCTCCCTTCCACTCCTTTCTTTCTCTCCCTCCCTCCCTCTCTCTCATCCTCTAATTTTAACTCCTTTCTCTCGTCTGCCTTTCATCCATCCCTTCTCCAGACACCCATCCTCTTCATACGGAGGTCAGAGTTCAAGTTTTGGCGTCTCCCGCCAAACTCCCTCTCAGACAAAAGTCTACTTCAGAGATTCAGCATCCTGTAATTCATATTCTCGTGACAACAGTAGATTGTGTCACTGCACTGGTTAGCGTTCAGTCTGACACTTTAAACCCCCCCCCCCCTCAGAAACCAAACTGGCAAGATCTTTAAAAAGAAACAGCTGGTGGGGAAATAGTGCTGGAATTGTCTCTTTTTCACATTCTTTCAGTATCTTATCACTTTGCTCAGATAGTAAATGGTGAGGACACACAGGGAACAGAGGAGCATGCCACTGTGGCACAGCATGAGTCTAATTTAAAAGCCAGACTGTTGTGCGGTGGTCTCCCCAGGTTAGGAGCCATCCAGACAGTCCCTATGGGAAAACAACATGCCGTGGCCTATTAGCTCAACAAAGAAGATTTTGATGCATACATTCCACCAATTGAAAGAAAAAGTAAGCACGGCTAGCTGTTTATCCCTGTTTCAAGCGGCTGTGCTAAGCTAAGCTAACTGGCTGGCTGGTACCTTCATGTTTAGCTTACAGAATGGTAGCAATCTTTTCATCTAGAGCTTATTTCCCAAAATGTCAAAACTTCTCTTTTAAACTTGCAATGATGTTTTCGATATTAGCATTAAATCAAGCGGCTCCATGTCATGCGATGGCGATTGTCAAGAGTTAGAGGAAAAGACAAATATGCATGCCTGCACACGCACGCACGCACGCACGCACACTATTATTCAATGGTTGTTTTTTGTGACAGTACTTCCTGGGAGTGAGATGGTAGTGGTGAAAATATAATTGTCAGCTGGACAACACATGATGGTCTTTTTCCTGTTTGGTAGAAGAGCATAATCACCGCATCAGCTAAGTTTCCACCTACACAACACCAACATGGACAGACCTGCTGCTTTTGGATATCTCTGTCGCAGAAAATTTAAATGTAGTCGATTTGCAGTACAGCTCACACTGACTTCAAATGAAAGGGAGTGGAAATAGAGGGGTGGAGGGTCACTGGGTGAGAAGGAAATAGGGAAAAGTAAATGTAAAGGAACCGTGGTCGAGGTCAAGGCTTGTCAGTCATTAAACAGAGATTTTTACTCCCGTAGTACTAAGGATGCATCGTCCAAAGCCATTTTACAACTTAATCTTCTCCCATTTGTGGCAGCAGTTGCAATACTGGCTCAGAGCCCCATTATCAATCATTCCTGTTTTTCTGCACAGTGAGAGTATTTTCTCTTCTAGAGTGCACAGCTGCTCAAAGCGACCACAAAGCTCGTGTTTCAGTTGAAGGAAAAGGGTGCAGGTGAGAACAGTACATTGAACGCTGGTTGATTAATGGTGGCCTCAGGGCTCTGGTATTGGAGGTCACTGTACACGCTGGCTCACTGTAACGACTCACTGAAATACAGCCATCGTTAGTGTTATTAGCAACACATGTGCTTCTCTTGCTAGTAAGTCAAAATGTCTGATGTGACCAAGGTGCCATTGATGGTGAGTAGATGCTGAACCCACGGTGGCACTTAGAAAAAAATATTATAATTCATATGATTATCATCACCATCACCGCATGATCGTCACAATTACAAAGATGTGTAAGAGCTTTGAACATTATCAGTATGTTAGACTACATTTCGTTTGTAAAACTATTTTAGCTCAATTTATTATTCTATTTTTGTGTAAATTCCCTCCTTGCCAAAATATTGGGCCTATGGGGTAAAAGCATGCATGAATACTTTTCCTCTTCCTGATTTTTGTGCATAATGTTCATTGTTTTCCCTCCAGATAATCACTTGTGATCCTCTTTTGCCAGATTTTTAATTAAGGCCACTGCGTCGTCACCTGGTGTGACCATAATGCAGCTTCCTGTCTGTCGCCTGAAGAGGTTTAGAAACAGAGCGGCCATTGAGCTGCTGCAGCTTCACCTCCAGCAGCGCTGCTTCCAACGAGGCACTTCTCTGTTGGTATCAGATTGCGTCACACTACCTGAGTCCTCCATCCACACACACACACGCACACACACACACACACACACAGCGCACCAACCGGCGTGTAGGTGATATGTCACTCGCCCGTTATTCCAAACGGGAGCCCGGGCGCGAGGCGATTCACTTAAAATAAGTAACAATAATGTCAGGAAGTAAAGTGACATTTTTTTATCAACCTGACAAAATTACGTTCTTGTGGGAAGAAAAGAAAAGAATGTAGCTTCTTTACATTCTAATAGAATGTAAATAAGTTACATTGTATCAGAATGTAGCTTCTTTACATTCTAATAGAATGTAAATAAGTTACATTGCATCAGAATGTAGCTTCTTTACATTCTAATAGAATGTAAATAAGTTACATTGCATCAGAATGTAACTTCTTTACATTCTAATAGAATGTAAATAAGTTACATTGCATCAGAATGTAACTTCTTTACATTCTATTAGAATGTAAATAAGTTACATTGCATCAGAATGTAACTTCTTTACATTCTATTAGAATGTAAAGAAGCTACAGTGTATAGAATGATTCTATTGAAGTTATTCCTTTTTTTAAATGTTTTAGACGAGTCACTAATCACTTTAAAATAGTGATTATAGTTGATTTAACTTACAGACATGAGATTAATCTTCTCATGTCACTCTCTTTATACAATGATATAAATTCATCCCCGTTTTATTGATATCTTACGAAATTACTTATATTACTTTTCCTGCAAAAGTCCAGCAACATGAGTCTGTTTTCGCTTGTTACATGCATACTGTCTTTTCAAAATAAACTTCCATCTTCACAGGAAACAACTAAGGTTTAGGCCAGGCATGCCCAAAGTCCGGTCACACATGAATGCTTACATTTGGTTACATTGCTATTCGCTGTCATTGAAAATAGAATGATTAAATAACAATGCATGTATAGGCTACTTGTATTGTTTAAAATAATGTCAGCAGGGACTGTTGGCCATTTTCACATTATCAAATCTGGCCCTCTTGAAAAAAGTTTGGACACCCCTGACTTAGATAAACTGACTTGAGCTGAACTAAAATAAAATAAAAAACATTAAACCTCAGTTGTTTATAATGTTTTAGGCTTATAGCATTTTGTTGTGATGAGTTTAAGTCACAAGTATGTTAGGCTAATTGTTATTTTAGTGTATTTACCATGTTTTGAATTGTGTCGCGCGTTTGTGACCGTTTATCTCGTAAGACGTGTGCTTCAATGTACATGTGTGGCTTTAGCTACATTTATGTAGTTAGGCTTCTTCACAAAGATACTGTGATTCTTACGTGTGATATTAAAAGAGAGACTGTTACTCACCACTTTCGCGTTTGGAGTCCATGTCGTTGAGAAACTCAGGGTGTGCTTATTTCCGGTAATAGTCCATTCGTAGTTTCATTCAAAAGTTAAGGTTGGTAACATGTGAGACGTGTTCGCCTCACAGCGGAGCTCCGTCAGCCTCCGTGCGGCCAAAGTGAGTCAGAGTGGCCGCTGTAGTTTACAGTTCGACTCGGTAGCCGCTGGTTCATCATCCACAGCTCCCCTGGATCCACAGGGTCCTAGTGCTAGTCCGAGCACCGCTACTAAACATTGGGTTTACCCTGCAGTCTATTTAGGTTTACCACACATTTCAAAAACATGACTCTTAATTAAAAAGTCTCATGTTGAAGCAACGCTAGTCATATTTGAGGACATGCAATCCACAATATGTTGTTCATTAGTGTTTTTATTGTATGACTGCCAGCGTTAGAATGTGAGGCACTTTACAAGAGTATTTATAAGTCTTATAGTTCACCAGAATTGAGAAAGAAATATTACAATTTTTGATATTCTTAGAAGAACCACTTGAATCCTTTCAAAAAGGCAATAAATGACAAAATAATGATGCTTGACTCATTTATTCAGAAGTTGTAGTTACAGATACAGGTTTGCAAATTATAAATAATACTTCAATAAATAAATAAAAATAAGTTAGTACCAAACACATTTATTTATGTGCTATATTGTATTGTTGAAGACCTATAGACACACACACACACACACACACACATTTTAAGCAATACAAATCCTTTCTTTCCACTTTACTTTTGTGAAACCAACTCTTTATTAAACTAAGTTTGTCATAACGTATTTTCTCTTTGCATCTTTCTTTGTTTATCTCTTCACACATTCCTTTCGTTGTTACTTCCTCCTGTTCTCAACCTTTCTTTCCTTCACCTCTTTCCTTTCCTCCCTTCACTTGAGCATTTTAGTTTTTTCTTTATTCAGAGGGTCTGGATATTCGTCTGTGAAAAATTCTGCGCAGCTGCAAGGATAAATTGACAAAAACGATGATTCCTTTAAGTAAAAAAAGCGAAACAAAGATGTCTTATTTTAACGTGTGTAGTACTAAAACCTGATTCCTATGACATAGTTAATTCACAATAAACCCTACAATCAGTGAACTGTACAGTTTGCTCATGTCATAGAGAAGAACTCTAAGCTCTGATATGGCTTCAGACATCAAAACAAACACATGCCAGTATTAAAAAAGGAGACCTTTGGGTTTCAGTATATGCACATTATATATATAAAAAAACATTGTGTGTTCAATAACTCTAATGTTAGTGAGACTCACACCATTCTCGTCAGCTTATGAGCTTATGATCATAGTGTCTGTGTGAATAAAACTGGATCCCTTTTGCTTCAAACAATATGTCAGACTGTCTTCTAGGCAGCCTATTCTCTTCCCAAACTGTCTCCCTTATTTTCAGCGTGGCAGACCCTCAGTGTGGTAGGAAGTACTTCAGCTTACAGTCCCCCTGGTCATGTATCAGACCTCCACCCTGGTGTTTCTCTTAACACACTGCCATCTGCTGGTAAGAGAGTGAGAAGCAGAACAACTCCTCCCACTCTTAAACTTTGTTGCAGCTCCAGTGAGGCTCATCTGCTGTCCCTCAAAGTCTTAATGATCTGGTTCACCTTCCTCTCACTGCAGTATCATTACCATTTTGGCGAGTTGGTATCAGAACAGTTCTGCTCCTGCCCCCTCAGAGGAGGAGAGACTTTTATTTCAGCCACTTCCTCTTCCCCTGTGACAGTCAACTTGGGGTCAACAGACCTCTCTGGTGGCTTGTTTTTCAGAGCACACCGTTGGACCTGCATTGGGTGAGACGGTTCTGGTGGCTTTGTTTTGTCAAAAGAGTCGGACCTGTTTCTTCAGTTCGTTCTTCTTCCACTGAGCAAGATGATCAAAGGCCGACATGGGCATGCCGAAGACTCTGTGGAACTCCTCTGGTGAGAGGTGACGCTGGGAGGAGACAGAGAAATGTAAAGAGGGAGAGTCAATGATAATCCCTTGAGCGTATAAACTTGCTTCAAATAGCTTCAAGTGAAAGTAATGTCAGAAATGTATCAAACATTCTTTGTCATGGCTCAATAGTAATGTCGGTCAGTCTGTGTTTGCATTATACTCTTGTCTGTTTGTATAAGACAGCTATTGAGGTAGATTCTGTAAAAGAGTTCACCTCCAGTCTTGCTCGGTCCACATCACTCGGTAGACGCTGCTGCCCTCTGACTGACACTATTATGGCTTCATATGGGTAGATCTAACACACAGGAAAACATGTAACTTCTTGCACTAAAACGCAGACAAACTACACAGTAAATGCATTCAGATCCGTCAAGGGACTTTCACTAATGATGTAGTTCTAAATTGTTTACTTTTACAACATAAATCAAATGCACCACTAAAAAAATACTTAATAGGTAATACGTAATATTTTTTGTGACATTTTTGGCCTTGCTCAGTCACCATTCTGCTATCAAGGTGTTTCGGTCGACTGATTTTGTATTTATCTTTGTCACCAACCCTCTAGTGGCTACCGCCAGCACTAACAACAATGATGGATGCTAAAATGAATTAGACAAATTGATTGAGTCTCTCTGTTTAGTTTATTATTCATGCAGATATAAGTTTTCCACTGAGGAAGAGATTAAGAGAAATCGTTGTTTGTGCTCAAATTGTTGTTTTTTTTATTTTCTTCTCTTGGGAAAATCATTGTTTATTTTTTTCAGCGTTTCCACCTAAAGGTTGAATGAGGTTGTATGGTTTCAAAAAGAGGGTGGATTTGAGATTTTGCTCGTAACTCTTTCCAATCAGTCACACAAATGACGAGAAATGCACCGAATGATGTTCGACAAAGTTAAAAATTCGGTCTCTCTTTGAATGTTTCAATCTATTCTCTAGTTGTTTAAGAAAGAAAGTTGAACCCTTATTGAGTTGGTTGACTTTAACAAGGAGTTCAGCATTCCTCTCAACCCGTCACTCTTAAGGGAGAAATAGTTGCAACAAAAATGCAACAAAAATCCTTTCACTAAATTTCGCAAAGTCAAGTTGGTGTTACTGGGTGAGATGAATTGAATATGGACTTTGAACAGACAACACATCACCCTTATCTATTATCCATTGATCCAGACCTTTCACTCAGTAACAGTTTGCTAGGTCTTACCTTGTATTCTGAAAGAAAAGCAGAAGAGAAAATCCGTTATCATTCATGTTAACTGTGATGTTCATTGTCACCTCTTTCCATCATTGTATACACTCTGAATAACATGCATCGGGGCGGGAGGTAAATAAGGAGAGAATAAGCAGATTTAAGCTGTACAATAGTCTTACCTCTGATCTGCCAGTTAACTGCATTACTGCTGTCATACTGGTAATAATCTGCACCAGCGCTCCCAGGCTGCCAGGACACAAGAACAGTTTAGCAAACATGGAGCGAGAAGATGCATTTCATCCTTATAATGGAAGATCAAGCAAAGTAGAGAGAAGTCATAAAATAGTGTGTAAAAAGCCCCATCAGTGAATTTATCACACCGACTAATGTTATAATAACAATATCAAGTTGTTAGTTACTGTCTCATGAAGGACTAAAGCTTACAGTTTAGTGAGTGGCCATACCTGTCTTGCTCTCTCTATCACACACACACACACACACACACAATGAGTTAGCATGATTGCTTACCCTGTTTAGTCCATTCCTGCGGTAGCCTGGCAACGAGGATGATTTGGCAATGTATGAGTCTGCAGGAACAAACACAAACACATAACCACAAACAAACAAGGGAAATATGCAAAATGATACAAACGCACTCGATTTGGCGTGCAGTATCTCTTTATACTGACAGTTGCTGAAGGATTAGAAAAGGGTTTCTAACATCTTTGTCATGCAATTTCTGTGAATATCACACTGGGGAAACGGTTTATCCCATTTGGTACAAGAATTGAAAAAAATAATACTGTCACTGCTTTGTAAACCTCAAGGCTCCCACTGCCTCTTAAACACCCACCTGACTGACTCCCGATAAAGAAACGTGATTCTGATCACACACAGATTGATATTTCAGTCATTTTGATGTACTGTTTCATCCTCTGGTTAAATACAACTTCATAAAATACAAATAAAAACTGCATCTACCTGCACATTCACAAGCGTATGTGTATTGCTGCTTCCCGTCATAATTTTACATTTTAATATGAACACCATCACATCAAAATGAAATCCATATTTCTGTTGTCGTTCCTCCAGCATGGCCACGCCTCTCTCGTGACCATTGGTAACCACCAGCATCCAAGCATCCATTGGCCCGCTCTTATATGTGTTGTGCAGCAGAGGGCAGTGGAGTCACACTGATCCCCCTCAAGTTATTCTTCAGTCTTTCATTTCTACTTTCACTTGCCTTATCTTCACTATGTGCCAGGTTTTTGCTCTTCTTTTCCCCACCCTCCCTCTCTTTTGCTTTCTTGCTCTTCTCTTTCTCTCTCTCTTGTTCACTCTCTTGTTGAAGGGAATTAAATTACACAGCGATGTCAAAGAGCCAGGACGAAACACCGCGATACAGTTGAATGCCGGCTGGTGCAGAGCTACTGTACAGCATGACTAATATAATGGGTTTTATCATCTCCAACTCTCTCTTTCTCAACTGAGAAAAAGGTCTCATAGATTAGTCATTGGGTGTGTCTCGGAAATATGGTTGTTTCATCAGCCATGTGCCCTGATGCCAAATGGTGTGAAAACTAATAGCCTAAGCATCTCATTCATCAATTGATCATTCATCATTTATAGCACAAGTGGTGGCCTATAATCTCTGCTGCCATTTAAATCATCGCTTTTATGGGGTTTGGAGCAATTTGAATTGACACATTTATCAGTTATTCTCGTCTAATGGCACAACAGTGGCCTTATATGACAGTGTGCATGCACAATAATGCAATTTGGAGGCCAAGTTGGGATGTTATTGGGTTAAAATCCATGCAACAGCAATAAAAGAGTGTGAGGGGTGGGTCCTGATGAACCACTCACCGCTGTCTGCACTGTGAACAGACCTGGGAGCTGAGGACAGAGTGACAGCGGAGGGAGAAAACACACAGGACAGTATATTAGTTTCATCACGATACGCCTTAGAAATACAAAATCTCTTGTAAGTGAAGCCTTGTGTCTTGAGCCCAAAAACTCTGTAGTATTAATCTCAAGGAAGTGAAGTTGCTTACATGATGTGTGTCAAATGAGCAATCAGCTGGTGTTTCCTGACCACTGTAACTGCCCCTGAAGAAAAGTGGAAGCTTAGATGACCTATACTTACTGTATTTGTGTGTGCACATGGATAGTGTCTGTGTGGTTATGTAAACAAGCGCAGTGTGTGAGACCGCGTTAAGTGGAGCTCATAAACCTGTCAAATAGTAAAAGTACGAGGACAAACAGTAAACTGAAACGAGAGCGTTAGTTTTCAGTGGAGGGGAAATAAAGAAGGCCAGCTGTTGTGGGACATCTATAAAACATCAGCTGTGTGAAGATATGCCCCTGACCGCATCAACATGCAGGCAAATCACCATCACGACCTACACATCTTATAAAATATGAAGCAGCATGGGCACAGCCATGCAGCATCGGGTCATTCATGTTAAAAATGCATTTGTTTATTGCATCCACCCACTGAACGTCGTCATTTTAATGGACTGTGCTGCAGCTTGAGATTATTTCTTCTCAAGCTAGGTGCTACAATACGAAACATAACAATATTTTGTTATTATCGTAATTGAGAGGCGGTACTTAGACACAGTGGTGCTTTGAAGTCAATTCTGACTTTAGCATGCTAACCTGCTCACAATGACAATGCTAAAATGCCAATGTTTGGCAGGTATAATGTTTACCGTGTCCACTATCTAGTTTAGCGTGTTAGCATGCTAACATCCGCTAATTAGCACTGAAACAAAGTACAGTTATTTAAAAAGTAGGTATTTAGTCATAAACCATGTGTCTACCAAATTCCATGGCGATCCACCCAACAGTTTTTGAGATACTGTATATCAGTTCAAACCACATACTGTATATGAACGTGTTGTTTGCAGTAGAGGAAGTGTCAGGGGATCACAAAAGTCAGTAGGATTCATCCTCTGGGGACCACGAAAGTGTTGAGACATTTCAGTCAGAAGAGGTGGGCCGACTGACTGCCATTGCCATTGCCATCCCTGGAATGAAGCAACATCCGTTAGTCAGTCAATTATTTAGTAGGAGTTTGAGGGACATCTATTAAACGGTGGACATCCCATTTTGGAATTAGCCTCCTATGAAGAATAGATGAGCACACACCTCTCAGTATTTTTCTAATCAGTATAATAACAGCAGACTATTAAAAAGCCAAAGTGATTACACAGCAATGAACACCCATGTTATCAACACCTCTCTCTGTCGGACCTCCCTGTGCACATAGCTAATTTCCCTCTCTCTCCACCGCTCTCTGACCCCGATTCACCCCTTTGGCTTCATGTCATACATCTTCTCTGAAGCAGCTCCAAATTGCTTTAGCTCCTCACTCCCTCTCTCTTTTGAATTGAATTCACTCTCTATCTCGTTCACTCTCTCTCAGGCTCTCCTGTTATAACACCCTCTCTTTTATTCCCATTTGACCTCCACCTAAACACTCTCTGTCTTTCTTTCTCTGAGTCTCTCCATCTTTGTCTCGCCCTCACTCGCGCTCAATGCAATGAGGAATGGGAGAGTTATTACAGAGGGAAACTCCCACGACTACAGCTCGCTCAGCATCACAATAAGACACACATTCATCCTCCTGTAAAGGTGACTGTATTCATTTCCTAACCTCTAACCTTCATCACAGCAGCCAAATCATCACCATTAACTGAAACCTGATCCTAATTTCAGCCGTGAACCTAAAGCACAGTCTCGAAAGTCAGTGCTTTACAGATGTATACATTACGTTATTGACAACCGCTTTTCATAGCCGAGCCCACCATCGTTCTTTAGAACAGTTTTTAGCCATACCAGCAGCATCGCTTTATGGAAGGCAACGTCCGTCTGTCGACCCACCACTTTGGTCCAAACTGAAATTTCTCAACATCTATATTTTTGTTGTTGCATGAATGTTGTAAAGACATTCATGATTCCCGGAGGACACACCCGACTGACATTTGGTGCTCGCTTGACTTTTCCTGTAGCTCCTCCACGAGGAAAATGACAAAAAACGGCAGAGACTCACAACCACAGACTTACAGCCATTGAGGGAGCCGTATCCCAGATTGTTCAGCGCCTCCCTGCTGCTACAGCGGGAACTGCGTCTGCTCCCCCACTGGTCATTGTCGTGACAAGCTGACCGCGCTTTCATCTCCTCCTTCAGGATCATCCTGCCAATTCCCTGTGGGGAGGGAAGGGAGAGTAGAGGGGAGGAATAGAATGATGGGTTAAATAAAGGAACCAGAAGAGAAGGTGGGGAAATGGACAGATAGATGGAGCAATAAGGCTTAGTTGAGTGGGATGGATGCATGGGTCCATAGATGGTGGTGGAATAAAGCAGAATGAGACAAAGAAAGGTGATGGTTGCTGTTTGGACAGATAGAGGGATGAATATGAAATGATAGAAGGAGAGAGGAGCATCTTTCTGTATCATGTTCCAGCTGGCGAGGTTGGAAAGAAGCATTTAATTAACTAGCTCATTAAATATTAACACACACTTAAAATATAAAAAAGGGAGAATCTTCCTTTCTTACCTTGTTTATATTGTGATTCCATCCATCCTCCTCCCCTCCGGATGAAAACCTCCTCACCCTGGAGACTAGAGAGAGAGAGGTGGGAAGAGTAAATACAGGTTTCTAAGCAGGTGTTTGTGCAGAAGTGTGTGTGTTTCAGAACGAGAGGGAGCCGTACCTTTTGGAGAGCCAGTATATGGGTAATAGTTGGAGTCTGGGTGATAAATGCCGTTACAGTTGGGGGTGGAAAGGCCACTGGAATTGAGGAGGTTCTCATTGGTCTTACTCTTATTGGCTGTTGGAGAGGCAGACAAGTCTGAGGGAGAGACGATAAGAGGAAGAGAGAGAGATGAATCACAGAATTCCTCAACGCAATTTATGATCACAAAATCTTTTTTAACATTTAAGCTGTTCTAGTCTGAAACACATGCACTTGAAATAACAAAACGGCACTGAGAAGGGAAAAGTCAACCATGGGGCATGAATGCTGAAACCTGTTTTGCTTGTTTGTTTGTTGTTGGCCTCTGAAATGATTCACTGAGGTTTTTGTGTCTTTTTGCGTGTGCGCGCGGGAGAAGCAAGACGGCCAAAGTAGCGCATTTACTTACAGAGAGGGGAGGGCTCAGCAGGGGGGAGGAAGGGAGGAGGAGGAGGAGGCATCAAAAGCAAAGGGAACAGAGAACGGAAAGGAGGTCAGAGAAGATGCGATGGGATATGATGCACAACTTCCAGTAAGCAAGCAAAGTTGTCAAGGGTGACGATTTCCTTGTGAGGATGAAAGGACGCAATATCTTGGAGAAAATTGTTGAAGGGGTTTTGTGGCTTTTGTTAGACAGTGAAAAGAGCAAGTGGGTGACATACAACAAAGGCCATATTCCAATTGATGCTGTGAGTGCATGAATGTGACTTTTATTCTTTGGACAGCCCGAACTTTCACTGGACACAAAAAAAACAACGAAGCAATCCGTCCCCTTTTTTCTGAGGTCATTTAAAAAAAGTGTAATCTTTATTTAACATAGACGAATGCATTCATCAATGTTTCATCGGCAGATAACATGCATACATGTCTCGGGCCGAGGCAGACTCCTACACCCCAATCCTGTTAATATTCTTACATTTAAAACAGATATGACAGAAGCATTAAAAGGAACCAAACGAAGAACTTAAAACCGTTGTAACCATCTGGTTTGTGCGCTACATTTGCTTTCTTTCTCAGTTGTTAACCAAACACCTCCTCAAGTAGCTCTAAAAGGTTTGTTTTTGAGCTGCAGCGAGCTTTGACTATGACATACATTATGGTACTAAATATACAGGATGTATACCCGATTATGGAACTTTGCCTTAATATGAAAACTGCTCTATAAATGATTCGTGCTGTAAATTTAAATTCATCCACAGAGCCCAGATCACAGATTGCCTGCTCAGACTGAGGAGAGAGGTTTGTCAGTACTTTGTAGCTCAGCGTAAATCATCCAGAGGTGATCCTGAGGAACCGTAAGTCTGTTGGATCTGCCATCTGAGCACTGATGGATCACCTACACACTCGGAGCATTTGGCGCTGCTTCTCTCAGTTTTACTTCCCCTTTTGAATCATCAATTGAATATGTAATCTCGCCTCTAATGCGGCTACAACAGCCCAACATCTCAGCTGGAGTTTAGTTTAGTTTTTAGTTAGGTCAGGTTAGAGTAATGTTATTATTCCTCAGACAATGAGGGACGTGATGTGTGGTGAACGCCTCAATCTCACCTTTTCTCTACCGTTAAGATACCTCAACTCTTCCGACATTGATTTCTGATGCAGTCCTTTTGTTTAACCAAATTTTAAAAATCCCCCCCGCCTGGAACTCTGGAATTATTTTACTTAAAGGTAACATCAGGTCAGGGATTCCCACGGTGCTAAACACTGAGCAGGTGGCCCACTGTGTTCGTTGCAGCAGAAACACTGAATTTTGTGACATTGACTTTGAATATGGATCGGTCACATCATAACAGATACACTCCCCTTATCAAGGTCAGTATGGGGGCTGATATGAAGTGATAAGAGTCAGTGGGAGTTACCCGTTGATCGTACTGTACAAGGTGTTTAGGGCTATAACTAATATACTAATACTACTATTTGTGTCATCGCCAATTTCAATTTCTGTTTAAGCCACTTGGTTGCTTCTTTACTACACAGTTTGGACGATGTTTTGAGGTGTTTCTACTTGCAATTCCATTATGGATTAAAATAAGAAGGTTACTCACAAATCAACTCAAATGAACAGTTTAAAGCTTACTTATTGTTCCAGTACTGGAAGCACACAGCAATAATCGTAACTTGTACACAGCTGAGATGTATCGAAAACCAACAGTCTAATCCAAGCCGTCAAAAAGGCTGTTTTGAGCTGAACCAACAGTTAAGTGACCTCCTTTCTTCAATAAATGCTGACTAATTAGCTTTTACATACAACCTCAGTATATTTAAACACCAGCATAAAATCCAAAGATATTTCATCTTTAATTGTATAAAACAGAGAAAAGCAGCAAATCCTCACATTTGAGAAGCTGAATCCTGTGAACGGACAGTTTTCTTCCAAATTCAAATCAAAATGGTTTCAATCTGCTGGTCGGTTAACATGCAACTTAAAAGCAGAAATAATAAAACACAGTGGCTGCATCAAGCCTGTGCAGGCTTGTAGACAAAATGCTGTCACTTCCTCTGACTACTTCTCTTTGGATAACTGAATGTCATAAGAAGCACCAGATGTTTGATGTTATCTTTTCTCTAACAGATTCCTTAAGTCAGACAAAGAGAAGCTCGTTTCATACTGAGAAGGCATTGACAAGCAACTGATCAACAGCCTAACAAAAGCTATAAAAAGCACAACATTGTGAGGAATGGACTAACCTTTTCTTTTATAGATGGGGGGTTTCCTGTAGATGTTGGTTTCCTCGGAAGCTGAGAACAGAAGCAACAAGAGAATGAGTGTGGAGAGCAAAGGGGAGAGTGGAAGGAGAGGAATCTGGATTTCCTTAACAAACCCGTCCCTCCAAATTAGTTGTATACATTTACAGTCTCCTTAACCGTAAAGCTGACAGCACGGGTGATAAACTGCTACGGCGGCGACAGTGCCGTGCATCCAGGCTGATTAATACAGATTCACAGGCTTTATTACTGGAAAGAGCAGCAGATGGCACAGGAACAAAGAAGAGGGAGGAGAGCAGTTGAAGGGTGGATAGAGGGCTGGATGGAGAGGCAGAGGAAAAGATAAAGGGGAAGAGAGGGAGACACTTAGAAGTGACAGAAGCATGTCTTGTAGCTCTCGTTTTGTGGGTTATTCTGTACAATCACTCGAGTACTGGAAAAGTGCTACAACAACACATTACAGTAAATTAAAAAAATTATTGGGGTCAGGAGCTAAAATTAAACAACTACAGCAAAAAAAAAAAGCATAAAAACATATTTCCAACTTCTGCACAGAGTGGGCCACTAAATCTGCCAAAGTTAGCGGTCCGACTCCCAACGGGCTGTCCATGCTAAATTTGTAAGCACTCGTGATGCTGTGAGGCACTTTGTATAAAAGCATCGACCAAATAGATTCTGCTCCGTGTTCAAAAGCATGAAGGGAGTGATGTCGCAGGGGCTGGCAAGGAATCACAGCCTGGGAAAAACCCGGAGAGAGGGAACACGCAGTGAGAAATAGACTAAAGGCAGGAGGAGGAAATGATGGAGGGAAACCAAATGCACAGCGTGCAGTGAAAAGTAAAGGCCTTTTAAAGCGAAGGGGACAAAGACGGAGTGAAACATTCAGGGAGGAGAGAGGCCGTAACTTGATAAAATGGAGGGTTGATGAAGTGTTTAAATTATTATTATATTAGTTGTTACATTAAAGCGCTCATACAAGAGCTCTAGATTAGTAAGATTAATCAGACGGACTCCCCGCGGGAGAGCAATGGAATAAAGATAACTGCTGCGATTTCTACACATGGATGATTTCATTTTCCCGAGACGGTGTGGGAAATTTCTGAGGCATCGAAAATCAAAATCACGAATATTTTAATTATTGATGAATCTCTTTAAAACATAAAGCAAAAAGGGAAAAAAAACCACAGCCACAATTTCCCACAACCAATATATTTATTTTCATTTTTTGTCAACAACTAACTTCAGCATTTATAATAATGCTGATAAAAATGTCATAATTACCATGGTCAGGTTCAAGGCTCACTGGGAATGAGGTAGTATGTCAGGAGAGTAGCTAGTGTTGATCTGGGGACAGGATGTGGGTCAAGGTCTGGGCTCTCAGTATGAATAAATATTTGGAGGGTGGGTCGGTTACGATCTGATGTGGGTAATTTCAGGTTAGTAAAGAGGTCAGGGGTCAGCGTTACACATCAGGGCCTACCTGGCACATGGAAATGCTTGGGGGCTTGGAAGGTGGTGGTGGTGGGTGTGGTACACCTGGGCTCAGGCTGACTGTAATAGGGTGAACTCCTGCCACTCTCACTGCCTACAGCCAGCGCAGCCAATCACAGTGAGGGAAACCAAAGCATGAGCAACAGAATGGCCCATGTCCCCAAACAGACAGAAAGACAGATAACCTGAAGAATCACATGTATGTGAGCGTGCGTGTTTTCGTGGGACGGGACACGACACCCTATTGCACCCACTCAAAGAGAGTTAGTCAGTCTTTCCAGTTAGGAAGCTCATATTCTCTGTGTGCATGTGTGTGTGTGTGTGTGTGTTGTATGTGTGTCTCTGCTTGAGTGGGCACATTACCGGGGAGATAATAATGCAGTGGGGAGCCTCCGCGGCGACTGTGTGTAGGGGAATCAGTGAAAGCGGAGCTGGAGGAACGCCTCGTTCTCACCTCCAAACCATCCAAGAGATCCTGGATAGAGAGAGAGAGAGAGAGAGAGAGAGAGAGAGAGAGAGAGAGAGAGAGGCTATCTTAGAGAATGTGCTTTAATTTACTAAATGCAGTATAGGAACCGACACAAGGATCCTTTCAAAACACAATTTTAATCATGTTGAGAGCAAATCATTATTATTGAAGTTCCCTTCCAGTACACACACACACACACACACACACACACACTCACACACACACACACACACACACACACACACACACACACACACACACACACAAAGACCTTTCATTTTGAAGCAGCCATACTTTAAAGGGATAGTTTGACATTGACAATACGCTCATTCACTTTTTTTGCCAACAGTTAGATGAGCGATACCACCCTCACGTCTGTATGCTGTATATGAAGCTGGAGCAGCTGGTAGCTAGCTGAGCTAAGCTGAGCATAAAGACTGGAAACAGAGGGAAACAGCCTCGCTCTGTTTGATCTACCAGCAGTTCAAGACATTGTATCATATTCGTCTGATCTACACAAAAACGGAAATGTGTAAAACTGTTTAATGAGTGCTGATCCCTGCTGCAGATAGTTGATCCATCACAATCAACTGTAACGTTTGTAAATCTGCATTAATTTGCCTCCAATTACGTTGTTTACAAGTAGATTACTTTAAAGAAAACCTCTGGAATAAGTTGGATGGACTACTTACATGAGAGTATGTTGATAAGGAGCCCAATGACTGGATGAGAAGAGACAAATATATTTGTTATGACTATGACAACAAAAACTATTGGTCAATTTCCTTCCATCTGCCTTTTTGTCAGAAGAAATGTAACTCAGAATAGCCCACTGTAACTTCCATGATTGATTGTGTGTGTGTGTGTGTGTGTGTGTGTGTACCTGTCCGCAGCTGTATCGCTCCAGAGTGTCATCTGAGAGGTGTGTGTGTGCATGGTCGGCCTGATAAGGGATGATGTCAGGCCTCTGGATGTCATATATGGCTTTGACCCTGGGCAGAGCTGCAAGCTGCTTATAGTCCAAAATATCCGCTTTAGACTGGAAGAGAGAGAGAGAGAGAGAGAGAGAGAGAGAGAGAGAGAGAGAGAGA